AGAGTGGTTGAATTCAACCGTGGATATGATGTCAGCTGCAAGCAACATAATACAATCAGAATTTTAGAACATCAGTCTTAATTTTACAGAGTCTAATTTGTTACTGTAGTCAGGACATGCTGTGTAAATCTGACCTGTGCTCACTGTAACAATAATTTGCAGTGGCTTTCTTGGCTGAATGATTAATTTCCTCCCAATGATGCACAAAGTACTTCCAACAGAATTTACTATACTGTACACATTGAGAGCTGATGTACCAGAGTCAAATTCCTCTTGTGTCCGACACATCTGGACAATAAAGCAGATTCTGATTCTGTACTTTTGCTCTTGTTTTGTTCACTTGTTAGGAGTGAAAACACCACAAAGCAGTGACATATATGTACACACACTACAGCAGTCAATCTTAACATCTACAGTCCTAAACACTCTTAGGAAGGAAAAAACATCTTCTGCAGTTACTCAGCACTTTTCAGAGACATGCATTCTCATCAAATCTTACAATACACAATCAACCCCTGTTTGCAGGCTGGTACTGTCCTGAGCTAATGCAATGCTTAGTGTAGACTGTGGTGCTGTTCCTCTATTAACACAATGCACAAAGTGCCTGATACAGCCTGACTCCATAGAACTCTCATAAAACAAAAGAAGGTAGAGTGACGGAGTGCATGTCTGCTGGAGTCACACTACACTATTGTAATTCTTAGTTTCCAGCTATGTAGTGACATAGTGAGAGGCTCATATTTATATTTGTTCTCAGGCAAAGCTGACTGCAAACAGCTATGTAGTCCTTTAGTCATGAGTACATCCATCATGCGTCTTTAGGGCAACTGTGAATTTACTGTTTGGACAATTGGAAAAGGGGCAGTTACACTTCAACACTAGCCTTTCTGCTTGCACAGAGATCAAATGTTTTTGCACTTTATTTGCATGAATTATTCCCATATGCTGAGATAAAACTATCTATAATTCTGCAATTTCAGGTCATCCGAACCTGTTCTCATCTAACCCCTGTGATATCCAGTCATGTGAACAGTAACAAAAATTGCAATAGCAAAGGGGTTCCAGTTCCAGTCAGGACAGCCCATACTGTCATCAGCTGCTGTCACTGGGAACTATTGTTTGTCAGAAAACAGTTGAATGAAATCTGTCCTGTTTTCATATGTAACTTGGACACCGGTTCAAGAAAAATATGTTGCTGTCAAGGCTTTCATTTCATGTCATTTTGTGATGCTTTGAGCACTACAAATGAAATTCTCTTCACCTTTATTATATTGGGTTTGCAGTATATGCCTCATAGTAAGACATTAATGCACTCTGACACCCATTTAAAGTTGAAACCAACCAAACCGATTGCTTAACCAAATATACACTGCTTCATCAACTTCCTACTTGCTTACAAAACACACTTGCATTGCAGAAGTAAAAAAAAAAACTGCAACTAGTGAATGAGTTTATGATATTCATTTCACTCCCAAGCATGCAAACATTACATAACACCCAAAATACACACAAGGAATTTAGGTAGTGACTGCTGACATTATGCAAACATTATACCAAAATGAATGAATGTCAGCAAATGTTACACACCAGTGACACTTTTACTGCAACTTAATGCTCTAGAATATCAATCGATCATGAAACTTTTCATGACGTGTATAAATACCTCAAACAGGAAGAACAGCGGCAGCGTTAAATATAACCTCAAGACAAATATGTACGGGATGGCACGTAGTGTCAGTGCGTGTTGCCACTTGTGACCACATCAACTTACCTTCAGCGACATCATCATCTATCGCTCCTTTGACTTGGGAAAAGCACCACTGAACATCACCGCTCCCAGCACCGGCCCCTGTATGAAACACAGCCATAAGTTTTAACACACCACCATCAGAGACAACTTTGCACGCGTTAGCATGCTGCTAACTTAGCTAAAATCAGTAATGCGAGAGCAAGACCGCACGTGAATTCATATAAATTACACATTATAACTGGCATAACAAGTCCCTAGCCACAGAAAGCAGTTTAGTCGCGTTTGCTATAGAAAACACTCACTTTCACACTATCTAGTGATACACTCGTCTTATAAGTAGCCTAGCATGCTAGCTAACCTCTGCTGGTTAACCACAACAGAGAGAGAGAGACAAGCCCATCATCCGTGCTGGACGGGAGAGACACTGGCAAACAGTCTTTGCGGTCTGGTTTTACCTGCCATGGTGAGCAACTCAGACAGAGGGGTTCTCTGTAGCGGGCTCGGGCCCTGGACTAGAGCAGTGCCGACCCGGGTGGGTTGGGTGGTTCTGACCGAGGAGCAGCAGAGGAATGAGGCTGTGAGTGCTGCTATAAACTCCGAAGACTGTGAAGTCCTCGGCCCAGTTGATACAGACAACGCGAAAACAGTTAAACCGAACAAAGTTAACTACAACCCTCGGTACCGGCTTTGAGACTTTGCACTCTACTTTGAGATTTCCCTCGCCTGTGCCTCTCCCAGCATTACACTTTCAAAATGGCGCAACTCGGGCGGCGTACAGCACGCATCAAACCGAGGGAGCGGTGAGGGTGTACCATGAAATTTTAACCGGCTGGCTGACTCCCGCACCGTCAGCGACGGGGGGCTTTCCCCATCTCCCAGAAACTCCACGGTTAATTGATTTATAGTGTTTTTAAGTTTCAACGAAAAGTCACAAGGTCCTTTAAAATTAAAATACCATGCTATGCTAAACCCCGCCCATCTGCATTGTTTTAGTGATTGAAATCGAACTAACCCACGCACACAAGGTAAATTCAGCAGTCAGAAAACGAACGAGATTTGATAGAGAATTCGACTTAGAAACTTACTTCATTTCTAATTTAATTGCTATTTAAGTCAGTCATAATTAGTAACAGTAGCTAGCCTTTTTAAAAAAGTCGTTTTAGGCTTCTGACAAAGATTTGGTATTTTGATTGAGCTGGTATGCCTGTCACAGCTGTAACACAAGCAAAATCTGCATATACACAGAACATGAAATAAGATGGACTAAAGTGGCAATGTTAGTAGTGGGACTTCTAGTGGCACTTGTAGACATGCCGCCGGCTGTCTCCCACCTATGAACATCATTTGGAGAATGCCTCTGAAAAGGGCACCCTCGGTGCACAGGTGACAAACTGGCTGCTCCCAGGCAAACCGATTAGGTTTACCCTTGTTGGTGCCCTAAGGCAGAAATTAGTGGTGGGCCCCAGAGGCCTTTTTCACAGCAGATATTTTCACTTGTCAGAGAAGGAAACTTACTAGTGTTAGTAATAATATTAACAGTGACCTTAAGTATCCAAGAGACAGTGTAAGCCAGCACACAGTATACCAGGAGCCTGAAACCAAAGCGACCAAATCATCACCTATCATTCATTTTAATGGTTACTTTTCCTACTGTGACATGTCCAAATGTTTTTTTTTTGTAAGAAAGGCACATACACCCCTCTCTTCCACTCCAGTTCTCTGTGTATTATTCAGTTTTTGGTAGTTTTAGTACTATTCAATAATTACAATAATTATTAAAAGAACTACCTTAAAAATAAAAATGTAATTCTACAAGACAGAGACTCAAAATTAGGTGTTACTTGTGTTTATATTGTGTTTTGGCAATGCATATAGAGCATTGCCAACCAAATTTGCAGTTTATCAAATTACGACAAATTAATTTCCATACAGTAAATTTGGAGACTTCAGGCCCTCTGAGAGCCTCGGGCTCAAGGGGCAGTTGTCCAGTGTCCGCTTGGTGAATTAGATTTCTCTGACACACAACGTCCTATCAGAAGGTTTATTAACAGTTAACTATATAGTTGCTTCCCAAGGGGAAAAACTCTTAAAGCTTTTATCAATCAAGAGTATATAACAATTTTCTTGTATGCTACACAAACATACCAACATCATTTATAACTTCATTGTGGTGACTTTGCAACTCAGCAACTATCACAGTTTCTAGATTGCACATTTAAAGACGCCATCAACACATATGATATAAACTGGCTTATTGAAAATGAGTTTCACTGTAGAGCAGCTCCATGTGCCTGCAACTCTTTGTTTAGATTATTCATCACAAAAAAAAGCACAAAAGCAGTGAGCTCTACTGCAGAGTGTGAATCAAAGAGGGAAACAGACATGACCACTCTAGCTGTTACTGTTGGGTATGGAGACATTAATAATTTATAGGAACTGCATAGACCACAAATCCCAAGAAGTCCAAGAACAGGCTCATTCTTCAACTGTTTTCACTTTCCCACCATAAAATAAGTGGTCCATCTGGCAAGGAGCAAAGCGCCAAACAGCACTGTGTAGCTGAAGAGAACAAACTTGAGGATTTCCCTGAATGTCCGGAGGAAGCGGATTAATAAGGGCTCCGCATCCAAAGGCTCCTGCTGTGTCTTCTGCCTGCGACCAGGTTGAGTCAGGTGCCCCATGTTCTCACCTCGACCCATTCTGCAAACACACGTTAAACTTCAGAATAACAGAACAGAAAGCAAATTTTAATGTCCACCAAGGCGGCCCATCTGGAAGTTCACCAATATAAAAACACTGAATTATCTGAACAATTTAATTGAAAAAAAATATATTCAGACAAAAAGATTAAAATTCCCTGAGAATGGAGTCACTGGAATAAATGACAACTTAAGTAGCAAATATTTGCAATGCTTTATGCATTATTAAATGTTTATTTGTACTAGAGGAGCACATTGATTTGTTTCTAGAGCTGCATTGTTACAACGCCACTGTTAATAATTTATCAGTACATTATAGTAAGTAGGGCCATATTGATCTGTACTGCTTGTAGTCACACACAATTGACTTTTGAACATCTTCAGCCTTCACCTTTCACAATGTCTTAAACTGTTTGTAGATATTTTAGGGTATGCAGGTTGCTCAGTAATAATGGATACATTCATATATGTGTTTCTTTGCAGTATTGTCAGGTCACAGAGGTTACAGCCCAGATTATATATGAACTGTATTAGAATCAGAATAAATTGTGCTGATATAGTTTTGTTATTGTCTCACAATAAAAAAAATGCTAGTGTAATAAAGAGTAATATTGTCTTATTGTAAATGTATTAACACTGCCCAGGTAAAGGTTAACTAGACTTAAACTTAACAGAAACAGACAAAATTCAAACATGCATGAATCATAAATAAGATGAAAATGAAAACCAGTCATACCTTGGTGTTGTTTGAGCTGAAGACAGGAGCTGATCAGAAAGTGAGCTCCTGTGTTTGCAGACCCAAAGTCCAAGTTGGTGTGCGCAGCCTTGAGCATTTCAAGCCCTTATTGTAGAGGAGGAGCCAAAAGCAATAACTGATCACAAGGATCTGAATCCCCTGGCATTGATGTAATGGGAGTTTAAGTCTTCAGTGCACCTGCTCCTCTAAGAGTGAATGTGTAATGCAATATTACTGTCATTCAAGCAACATTTACAGATGGATTTTCAAATTTAATCAAAGCAGTTTCCAAGTCTTCTACCCAATCAACATGGATGAAATCTACACAGCTGTAACCAAGCAGAGCTCACCAAAATACCTGAGTGCTGTCAGCAGGTCTCCCTGTGTTCCACTGTAAGGCACGGAGATGGTATTGACTGAAACAGAAATCAAACACCCTCATGCAGCACAGTTATCCTCTACCGGAACACAGAGCAAATGGCCTCCTAATTCAATCAGTGCCCTGTGCTGTCAAATCATGCGCTACCAAGGGCTGAGCTCTACAGACAGCACAGGGCCATTATCGGCTGATCTGGAGGCCTGTTACCGCACTAATTGCTCCTTCAGAGAGCTGGACCACTGCTGATGGATACACTCCCATCTCCGTCTTTCATCTGCTTTCCCTGATCACAGTCAGTTTCTGAAAATTACCTACTAACAGGCAAAAATGTCTTTCTACATGACCAAGTAATCCAAGACTAAATACAGTTGGTTTAGACTTTATGTATCCATTCACTGTATATCACACCAATAAAAGCCATACAAGAGAAAACTGCCAACAAATATCTTCCAAATGCAAATCAAGTGTCTCTAATCATCTTGTATATGACATTATCACAACCATCCAAAAGATTTTAATCATACCTACATACATACAGTATATACAGTGGCTAAATAGCAGATAACCAGAGGACTAAGGGATGTACAAGAAACAGTAAACCTGCTTTATATTATATTGTCTGGGTGCAAATGGATGGGAAAAAAATAATTGTATCCTGTGAATTTTAGGACAATTAGAAGCTTTATGTGGTAATTTTTAGGCTTTGTTTTAGCTTGATTTCCGCTTTGCAATTGTTATGAAGATAGAAATGCATGTAACATGTTTGTAGGGCCTCAAAAATATATACTGCTAAAAAAAAAACAACAACACTGAATGTAAACATAACTGTTTACAAGAAATGCAATTTGATCAGAATCAGTGTAACACTTGCACAACACCGACATGGACATGAAACCTGCACTTGAGATTTCTGATGAATGGAGTGCTTGAAGAGACCAGGTGTACATCCATCACTCAGGGGGTCTGGGATTCAGGCCGGTCCATGAGGGATTTGATCCAAGTTGTACCATTTATGAGTTTTGTGGTGGCAATAATATACTCCATCCCGCTATCTTCCATTTGAGAGAGGAAACGAAGAGCGGCTATTTCTGCATACGTCACTCCACCGAGGAAGAAGACCAGTGTTGTCCTATTCTCCCCCTGCTGGCCTGTACCACAACAAAAGGAGACACGTCACTCACACAATATGTAAAAACAAAATGAATGAAAAATATGCCTTTTTTTTTTATTCACCTTGACATGGCAAATGAATCAAATGTATGCCACTGCTAACTTTAACAAAATACAACTGAATGTAAAAGGAGGGCCAAGAACCTTCTGTTAAAGCACCATATTTTGTAATGTGAAAACACCAATTTAGCCGTCACCCTCCCCCTAGATTAGAGTCCTCTATTATCACCTTTTAAAATCCAATATAAGGCAGGCATGTAGAAACAAATCAACTATCTAATGCCCAAACTCACTTCTAATTAGCACATTTCAAACTGACTGTATAATTAAATTCATTATTCACCTCAGTGTAACACCTATATGCCAATATGAAAAGATGGAGGAAAAGTGAGGAAAAGCACTCGTGGTTGCTACCAAATCAAGCACAGTATGTGTTTATCTAGCCTTCTCTTCAACACAGATGGACAGAGGAACAGTAGTGGTCCTGTGGGGTTGTCTGCTTTGTGCCATCAATCTGCTGCACTCAACAGAAACAAAGCCTCTGTCTTATCTACATGTAGCAGGCAGGAGGTCATTTATTCTGTGTAGTGAGAAGCAGGGCAAACAGCAGACCCAAGCTGTACTGGTCTTTACGTTTCTTATGAAGCCCAGCAGGCAGCTGCTGTCGCTCCTCAAAGTGTGGGCCGGGAAGCATCTTCAGCACCTCTTCAATGCTACGCCACCCAGGCCGGGCCAAGACCTGGGTCAATCGAATGCTTAGTGGGGCGTAACCACTGTACACATAGGAGATGTCATTGGGGTTCTAAGGGAAACAACAAAACACCACACAAAAAATCAGCTCACAAGCGCATGGGTTTAACCCTTAAAGTTCTTTTTTCTTTCCATAAATCTCATACCTGTTCATTGGCATCCTCCATCCATAGCTTAAGGGTTTTCCTAATAGTGGGGTAGTTGTTCCTTGAACTTGTCTGTGGCTTCAAAAGACCCACCTTCTCTAGATTGTTAAGCGTTAGTATGTGTTCATAGCCGTAGGTCTATACAAAAGACAAAAAAGTCATTGAAAAATAATCCAGTCAGCTGCAATTAATCATTTAATGCAATGAAGTAATTCTTCAGAGAGGGAAAAAAAAAAAAATATCTGTAATTTTCCACTATTTTATTTTGTTGAAGTAGCAGGAACATGTTGGGGCCAACACCAAAAATAACTCATTGTGTCGGACTCTACCTGGAGAATCTCCCTCTTATAGTAGTCCAACACCTTCTGCTTGAGGCCATTGTTGCAGACAGACTGCATGCACACCAAACGCAGAATCTTGATCAGTGGGTCTTTTTGGGCAATGCTGTCTTCTATGTAAATGTTCACCTAGATAAGAAAGTAACATTTAACAATTGTAGTGCACCCATACATAAAAACATAAATCATTTTCTCTAACTATCCCATTTAAATCAGTAAGCAAAAACTAAAAGACAAAAACAAATAGTTCATTTCTCATTTTACAGTTTGAAAAATTTAGCAAACTTTGGTGAAATCATATGAAACATGGTATATCTATTTTATAGTACATTTAATGACCGAATAACTTTGGCAACTGAAAAACGGTAGACAGATACAAATACCTTGTCTGTGTCAACTCCAGTCATAAACTCCTGCTCCACTGTTAGGTTATCAAAGAAGGCCTCCGATGCTGGAACAGGAGACCTTTCATTCAATTTTATAATTACATAATAAATACTCTATATTTGATATCGTTAATATAAAATGGTAAAAAAGAAAAGTATAATACACAGTACTATAATCCTTAAAACTGTGAGACAGTACAAGCTATGAAGTTTTTATAAATCACAAGGCTTTATCTTGTAATTATGAAATATGGTGTAAGAATCTGTCCAAAATGCAACGAAAGAGAAGGACTAATATGTGAAGAGGAATAAAAAAAAATATGGGGTAATTTACATACTGGTGATGTCCTTGATCAGCTCAGCTATAGAGGTGTGGTTAGCTAGCGAGCTTCGTGCTGCCTGCATATGGGGCAACTGAGACACAAACTGCTTTATTTCTCCCACTGTCTTGGCATTATGACGTTCCTGAGGTGAAACAAAACAAAATCTCACTTTATTTGCAGAGCTGTTGATACATTTGACAGTGCAGCTTAAATAAAGCATCCAAATCATAAAACCAATTTAATTATAACAAAAGTCAGTTGTACATCCCATCAGTATAACATTAGAGCAAAACAGGTCTGGCCATTACGTACAATTAACGCTAGCAAAAACCAACATTAGCAAAGCTGTTTCCCCCTTTATCTCTTTACATTTGTAAACTAAAGAGTTTAACCCAACTTCAGATTTTTGAATGAAATACAGCTTTCACACAACACAAACTATTTTACATTGGTGTCTATCTGAACAAAGTTCCTTCAGA